ATGACTACTGGAAAAAGCAGAGCTTTGACTAGATGGACCTTTGTCAGCAAAGTAATGTCTCTGCTTTTTAATATGCTGTCTAGGTTGGTAATAGCTTTTCTTCCAAGGAGCAAGCGTCTTTTAATTTCATGGCTGCAGTTACCATGTGCAGTCATTTTGGAACCCAAGGAAATAAAGTTTGTCACTGTTTCCATTGTTTCCCCATCTATTTGCCATGAAGTGATGGGACTAGATGCCATGAAGTGATGGGAGTAGATGCCATGAAATGATGGGACCAGATGCCATGATCTTTGTTTTTTGAATGTTGAGTTGTTGGGTTTTTTTTACCAGTTCTGTTACAGCCCAGAGTTTTATCCGGCAAACAAAGGATAGTATACCCTCGATGTGGAAAGACCTCAGTCCTTCTTGGCTTCCTCCTTTTATACATTTGTCTCCTCCCCCCACCCCCTTGAGTATGCCCTGTGCAAATTGGGCTGGCCAAGAAGGAGGTGTGTTTGTTTCACCTAAAGTTCTCACTGTGGTCTGTGGATCTTCTTTCTTTCCACTTCCGTGGGCTTTTCTCTTTCTTTGTCTTTTAGCCACCACCATTTTGGACTCCTTTTTCCTATTCTAACTACCTAACCTCCCCCCATCAAGAGATGGGAGGCCCAATTCTTTGGCATTAGGGGCGTCGAGGTCTCTCTGGCTACTTCCTGCTGAGCTGGGACGGTGAGGGGAGTTGGGCCTCCCCCTATTAGTCTCAAGCCTCAGAGTCCTTATAGCGGTGTCCATCTAAGGGTGAGTGATATTTTCCGTGGTCAGGTGTAGTTTTATATATCCTTGTTGAACTGGCACTGCATGTTGTAGCTTGCTGACGTGGGCAGAGACAAACGGGTGAGACAATTGATAATACACAGAGCAATCACAAGCAGCATCAATGTGATAACAGGGACTAGTAGGGGGCATTAGCCGACTCCAAATCCCCCCTGCCAGGAGAAGGATCCCCCAAAAAGAGATTGTAGCCACCCCGAGAACTCTCCAGCTTGTTCTTTGAGATCCTGTAGGACCTGAATGTTTTTCTTGAGGACTGTGAGACTTTATTCAACTTGGCTGGAGGTGTTTACGCAGAAACAACATTTCTCATTCAAGATGGCTCAAGTCCCTCCTTGTTTAGGGTTCAGGAGATCTATCTCCTGTCTGATTCGGAGTATAACCCCTGCCAAGCTGTGTTGGCTCGTTAGAGCTACCCTGGGAAATCTTGTCCCCAGAAACTTACTTTTGGGGGTGTTCATTAGAATGGCACTCATCTGTAGTCTTGAATAGGTATCTGAGATCTCCCAGGGGCTCACAGGTGTATTGAGTGTCCTCTTCTCTTTTCTTCCATGGCTTGACTCGTGAGTAGTGAATCCAGGAGTCATGTCCTGGCACCTTGATCGCTGTGGGAGTAGAAAATATTACAGGGTAGGGGCCCTTCCATGTGGGCTGGAGTTGAGCCTTTGGGGACCCATCTTTCCAGACTTTAATTTTCCAGATGCTGGCCGCCCTCCAGGGAAGCCCTATGGTAAATCCCTAGTCCTTGAAAGTTGAGTTTTAAGCCAGCTTTTTCACTCTCCTCTTTCACGTTCATTAAGAGGCTCTTTAGTTCCTCTTTGCTTTCTGCCATAAGGGTAGTGTCATCTGCATATCTGAGGTTGTTGATATTTCTCCTGGCAATTGATTCCAGCTGTGCTTCCTCCAGCCCAGCATTTCGCATGATGTGCTCTGTATGGAAGTTAAACAAGCAGGGTGATGATAGACAGCTTCGTTGTACTCCTTTCCCAATTTGGAACCAGTCCATGGTTCCGTGTCTGGTTCTAACTGTTGCTTCTTGACCTGCATACAGATTTCTCAGGAGACAGGTAAGGTGCTCTGGTATTCCTGTCCCTCAAAGAATTTTACACAGTTTGTTGTGATCCACACAGTCAAAGGCTTTGGCATAGTCAGTAAAGCAGAAGTAGATGTTTTTCTGCAAGTCTCTTGCTTTTTCTGTGATCCAGCAGTTGTTGACAATTTAATCTCTGGTTCCTTTGCCTTTTCTAACACCAGCCTGAACATTTGGAAGTTCTCCGTTCACGTACAGTTGAAGCCTAGCTTGGAGAATTTTCAGCTTTATTTTGCTAGCGTGTGAGATGAGTGCAATTGTGCAGTAGTTTGAACATTCTTTGGCATTGCCTTTCTTTGGGATTTGAATGAAAACTGACCTTTTCCAGTCCTGTGGCTATTGCTGAGTTTTCCAAATTTGCTGGCATATCAAGTGCAGCACTTTCACAGCATCATCTTTTAGAATTTGAAATAGCTCACCTGGAATTCCATCACCTCCACTAGCGTTGTTTGTAGTGATGCTTCCTAAGGCCCACTTGACTTCACATTCTAGGATGTCTGGTTCTGGTTGAGTGATCACACACCATCATGGTTATCTGGGTCATTAAGACCATTTTTGCATACTTCTGTGTATTCATGCCACGTCTTCTTAATATCTTCTGCTTCTGTGTGCTGACTTTTGGATTCCTCTCTTAGGACATATAGAGTTTCTTTCTTTTTTTTTTTCATTTATTTTTATAAGTTGGAGGCTAATTACTTTACAATATTGTAGTGGTTTTTGTCATACATTGACATGAATCAGCCATGGATTTACATGTATTCCCCATCCCGATCCCCCCTCCCACCTCCCTCTCCACTCGATTCCTCTGGGTCTTCCCAGTGCACCAGGCCTGAGCACTTGTCTCATGCATCCAGCCTGGGCTGGTGATCTGTTTCATCCTAGATAATATACATGTTTCGATGCTGTTGTCTCTAAACATCCCACCCTCGCCTTCTCCCACAGAGTCCAAAATTCTGTTCTGTACATCTGTGTACAATTAATAGCACTCCACTGCAGTTTTTCCTTTTCTTGTACAGATATTAACTTGAACCAAGAGTGCAAATAACTCTTAATAGGAATTGATCCTTGTTTTCCACTTGTCTCTGAAATATCAAATCCCAAATATTAACAAGATTTTTCATTCATATTTTTAGAGATTACTATTTATGCTTGATTCAAGATCAGTTTTATATCCCATAGTATGGCCATGAGAAAGAAGATGAAAAATGGAATTCTTTTTTCCTGGCGCTGATTCTCTTCTCTCAGAATTGCACACAGAGCCAGACTTCATCGTCACTTTTGAGTCTCCACTCTTGGCCTTCCATGGCCCCTCCATAGCTGAACTCCTGACCCAGGTTGCTGCTGCTGTTCCTCAGTCACTAAGTCGTGTCTCTTTTGCGACCCTGTGGGCTGTAGCTTGCCAGGCTCTCCTGTCCATGGGATTTCCCAGGCAAGAATACTGGGGTGGGCTGCCATTTCCTTCTCCAGGGGATCTTTCTGACCTTGGGATCAAGCTTGTGTCTTCTTCGTTGGCAGGCAGGTTCTTCACCACCGAGCCACTGGGGAGGCCCCTGTCCCAGATGCCCGTCATAATTTGGAAGGCACACGCCCATGGCTGTTGCCCTGGGGAATATTGACCTTACAAAGTTGCATCTTCCTGTTCATCCTGCCTAGTTATTTCCTGACTCATCCGCTGGGTGCTCCGCTGAAGCCCCTTCTTTCCATCCTTCCCCTTCTCTGGAGAGCCTCGTCTTCTCCACCCCTTCCTCCTCCCCCAGTACGTGCTGCCCCTAACCTCCTGATCGCCAGTTAATCTTTTTTTCCATATCCCATGGATCCCTTTTAGGACTTCTCATTGCCACTTGTGGTATACCGAATGCTTGTACACACAGTTTAGCTTTATCTTAAGGACAGTTTAGCTAGTGGGAAAAGGTTACCCTCATTCTAGGGCTTTTCTCCAGGACTAAATGCATTTTAGCACTGATCTTCTCCAGAGAGTTTTTCTACCTTTGATGCCTGAGCTGTGGGTGAAATCTAAAGGTAGAAATAAGGCCGGAAGAAACCTCCTCATATGGACTTACCTGTGAGCAAGGCAAGAGAAGACAGTGCAGGCCTTCGTTCTTAAATCTCACCAAATAGAGCCCGGGGCCACTCCCCTCGTTTGGCCAGACCAGGAGGTCAACTGGAACTTTACTCTTGGTTCTGCTGGACACTTTGGCATGTCTGATTTTTTATTGACACAAGTAAGAAGAGATTTGGTGACCGAATCTGTTAGTGACTATTAGATTCCTATAGAATCAGAGGACAATCCCCTCACTAACAGGCATTTCTTTGTTCTTCATATTTGTGAGTGTTTCAGCTTCTGACTTGAGTGCTTTCAATATTGTAACATACACTTTATTTTCACTAGCCTCTGAGGAAATTACTGTTAATCCTGTGTTAGTGTCACATGAGGAAATCATATCCAAAGGAGTGGTCATATTATAGGTTTTAAGCTTCTATCTGACGGCTGGTTTAGTTTGGGGCAGCTGACAACTTCACACATGGTTTTAGTAAGAAAAGATGCTCTGGAAGATGTCTGATGTGAAGCGAAATAGACCCTGGGGGGAGACTCAAGGTTGTAGGGGAGAGGGATGTACCTTTGTTTTAAAGCAGCGTATCATTAGAAGGAGCCAAGGTTGCCATGTTTTGATGGAGGGAATGTTTAAAGAAATGTGTGTATCTTCAGAGACGATGAAGGTTGGTGTTGAGTATTATCAAAAGAATCTTAAGGTTCCATTCATTATCATCACCATGTCTTAAAGTTGGTTGTGGTCTATTATTGTTGCTGTGTCTTGAGCAGCATAGTTTCTCTAACGCTCATCCCTTGTAAGCTCCTTCTAAAGCACCTTATGGACATGGTGCAGGGTATTATGGCTCCCTAAAATACGACCTCAAACAGCTTCTGGAGATCAGTCGTGTCAGTGTAGAGTGACTTTAGTTTTCCAGGTTAACGTCTTTCAAACCTAAAGCATTATCTCCTACGTGTTCAGGCTTCCCCATTATGAAATGTTGCATGCTGATAAACAGAAATGTCTCTCAACACATGTTGCTACATGAACTGTTTCTTAATTATTTATAGGAACTTAGAGAAATACATAATAAGCAGCAACTCCAGAAACAGAAGTCCATAGAGGCTGAACGACTGAAACAGAAGGAACAAGAACGAAAGATCCTGGAATTAGAAAAACAAAAAGAAGAAGCCCAAAGGTGAGTCTTTTCAGTGGATTGTGAATCCATCTGGAAGGAACTGTAGGTTCTCATTACTCTTTGCTGAACTTCTCCAAGTTCTTAACTGCACCAGAAAGAGCCCTCAGTTTTTAATGTGTGTGGCTCAGTGGTAAAGAATCCACCTGCCAGTGCAGGAAACACAGGTTTGATCCCCAGGTCAGGAAGATCCCCTGGAGAAGGAAGTGGCTACCCACTCCAGTATTCTTGCCTGGGAAATCCCATGGACAGTGGAGCCTGGTGGACTATAGTCCATGGGGTTGCAAAAGCATCAGACACGACTTAATGACTAAACACAACGTAAGCAAAAGCACATATACGTATAAATCTTTGCACATATAAGTAACTTCTGAAGTTTTCGGTTGGTGCCCAGGGCTCTCTGAAGCTATGATTATGTAGATAAATGGAATTACACAAGGATTTGGGCCAATTTGGGCCTGTTTACATGCCAGTGACCAAGATAGGTTTCCAGTCCACAGCCTTTTAAAAACAGTAACCATCTGAGTCTTGGGTTTAAAATCAAAGTCCCTGAGCTCACTGGCCACACAGGGTTTCTCCAGTGGGGCGAACAGTGTACACCGCCGTCTTCCTTTTTTCAACAGCAAGTAAAACTCGAGGTCAAAAGGAGAAGATTTGCTGTTGCTGCTGCTTAAGATCCAGACACATTTTTGTTAGTTTCCATTTGAATATTTGTATCTGTAGTCTTTTGTTTCTGTCTGCTAGTAGTATTTTGCATCTGGTAAATTACTAGTAATCTGGTAAATTACTAGTAAAATAGTAATATTTTGCACCTGGTGTTTTTGGTTTTGTTTTTACGTGCCAGTGGGTAAGTAGGTAGGGTCTCAAAACAATTTAGAGGACTATTTTATGGTTTTCTTGGGGCTAGGTCTCGGATTATGCCCCTAGACCTATCCCCTTGGGTGTGTTGATTAGCTCCATTCTTTTCTTATCTATAAAGTTGATTATTTATAATACGCTGCACCAAAATTTTATATCCCTACAGAGTAGAAATAAAGATACAGTGTCATCATATGGAAACTTTAAATTTTCTGTGTACAATTGAATGATAAATAGTACCCAGAATTTAACTTCAGAAATTACATGGTTATATACTTTATTTTATTTTTAATTTTTTATTGGATGGTATTTGCTTTACAATATTGTGTTGGTGTCTGTCATACACCAACATGAATCAGCCACAGGTATACACATGCCCCCTCCCTCCTGAACACCCCCTCCCATCCCCCACCCCCACCCCTCTCGGTTGTCACAGAGCACTGGGTTGATCTCCCTATGCCACACAGCAAATCCCCCCTGTTTTACATGTGGTAATATCTGTTTTACATATGGTAATATGTATGTTTCCTGATACTCTTTCAATTCCTCCCACCCTTTCCCTCCCTCACTATGTCCACATGGTTCCCTTTGTTAGTGAAATATGTGAAGCAAATTTTATTGTGGTTTTTTTGTTGTGTTATGAATAACAATTAACATTCTTACCCCTCCATAAAAATGTTTTTAATGCTTTCTTAAAAGATGTTTTGAAAATGGTAAGTGAAATGCTTAAGATTTAAATTAACAAGAATTCTACTGCACTGAATCTTCATGATTATTTGAGTAGAAATAAATATAACATTTTTTTTGTTTGTTTTTTTAGAAATAAATATAATATTTTTAAATGGAGAATAAAAGTTCTCTTTGTTTATGCTACGTTCCCTTGGTTGTTTCCTGATTCCACAAAATGACCTTTGTGCCTTGGCTGTGTCACAGGCTAGCGATTCAGGTTGTGAGCTTCAGAACTGAGCAGCCTGGATCAGTCCTGAGGCCTGTAAGGCTGTGTGACCTTGCCAAGTCCTTCACTCCCTCTGCCTCATTTTCCTCTTCTGTAAAATGTGGATGATTAGGACCTGCCTACTTGGTCGGCTTCCCAGGTGGCTCAGTGGTAAAGAACCCACCTTCCAAGGCAGGAGACCCGGGTTCAACCCCTGGGTCAGAGATATCTTCTGGAGGAGGACATGGCCACCCACTGTAGTATTCTTGCCTGAAAAACCCCACGGACAGGGAAGCTTGACAGGCCATCGTCCACAGAGTCCCCAAGAACTGGACAGACTGAGCGACTGGGCAGCTGGTGGGAGACTTAAAGTAGTTAACAAATGTGGAGACTGCCCTGGTGGTCCAGTGGCTGACTCCATGCTCCCAATCCAGGGGGCCCAGGTTTGTTACCTAGTCAGGGAACCAGATCCCGCATCCTGAAACTTAGACCTGGGGAAGTGAAAGTGTTAGTCGCTCAGTCGTGTCTGACTGTTTGCGACCCCATGGACTGGAGCCTCCCAAACTCATCTGTCCGTGGAATTCTCCAGGCAAGAATACTGGAGTGGGTAGCCATTCTCTTCTCCAGGGGATGTTCCTGACCCAGGGATTGAACCCAGATGTCCTGCATTACAGGCAGATTCTTTGCCGTCTGAGCCACCAGGAAAGCCCAAGAATAGTGGAATGGGTAGCCATTCCCTTCTCCAGGGGATCTTTCCAACCCAGGGATTGAAACCAGGTCTCCTGCATCATTGCAGGCGTGTTCTTAACCATCTGAGCCACCGGGAAGACCCGGTACAGCCACATAAATAAAAATAAATATTTTTTTTAATGTGGAAGACTAATTATTATTAACATAGTATCATTTATTATTGCACATTATTTTCATTCAAAGTGTGGTCATTGGAACTTCCCTGGTGATCCTGTGGTTAAGATTCCACACTTCCAGTGCAGGCGCTGCATGTTCGATGCCTGGTCAGGAAACTAAGATCCAATATGCCATGCAGAGTGGCCAAAAAAAATGTAAAATGTGATCATTTAGGAGTCCCCTGGTGGTCTAATGGTTAGGATTCAGTGCTTTTACTGCAGTGGCCTGCATTCAATCCCTGGTTTGGGAACCGAGATCCCATAAGCCACCCAGTGCAGAAAATAAATAAATAAAAATAAATAAATTATGATCATTTAAGGAGTTTTCTGATTTTGTCAAATGTGTAATGCAAGAAAAATCATTCCTAGTCAAGAAAATACATATCATTCCTAGTCTTTTCCTATCGATTTCATACTGAGGACATCATACTTTTCAAGGCCTAGATGTAATTGCAGTTTCTCTCTTTGTGTCGGCTGCTTTGAAGAACAAAGTGATCAAGTTCAATAAAACATAGAAACTGTTGCTTAGTAAGGGATGGCTGCTACCTCCAGTGTTCAGAATAACCTCTTGGTTTCTGTTTCAGTTCTGGGGAGCTACTCGTGTGCTACATAAACGTGGCGTGTGCCCTCCGTGATCTAATTGTTCATGGGCTTCTCTAAGCAGTCTTTCACTTGCAGTGTTGGATGTACTTTCTGTCCATGAAAGTTATATTCCTGTGTGTCTCTTATTTTTCTTTGCAGTTATATACCACTTTTTAAATGGAGGAGTATTTTCCTGAGTTCTCTAATTCCTTTATAAGCGACATCAGGAATTTTCTTTCTGTGTCTTTCTAAATCATGTGATCTCGTCTCACCCAGAAGGGGAGCCCTGAGAACCCCTGTTTCATTGATTCAGATCTTCCACCTGAGGAACAAACCCTATCCCTTGGTGCTTAGCTTCCCATTGATTAGATGGAGCCCTTTTGAAAGGAGACCACACGGCAGTGTTAGCGTGGAGTTGCTTCCATGCTGTAACCAGGCGTTTTGTTGACAGACGAGCTCAGGAAAGGGACCAGCAGTGGCTGGAGCACGTGCACCAGGAGGATGAGCAGCAGCAGCCACGGAAACCCCACGAGGAGGAGAAGCTCAAAAGGGAAGAGAGTGTCAAAAAGAAGGACAGTGAGGAGAAGGGCAAACCGGAAATGCAAGACAAGCTGAGTCGGCTTTTACACCAGCATCAAGAACCAGCTAAGCCCGCTGTCCAGGCTCCTTGGTCCACTGCAGGTATGAGAGACCAGAATTAGGCTAGCAAATAAGTGTTCTTCTCCCAGGTCCTTCTGGGGAGTAGCCATATCTGATCAGGCTCTATCTTGGCTACGTTCATAGCCATGAGAAGGTCAGTCATGATTTGGACGGTGCAGATGTTCATTCTCTAGCATCACTTTAGAGGTCTCTTTAGTTCTCTCCACACCATGGCAACCCTTGGCCCTGTTATGCTGGCATCCAGAAGTCATTTGCAGACAGCAGTGGTGTGAAGTTTTATTGCCAAGTGCCATTCATACAGCTGTATTCCACATGGAGATCATAACCCTTCCTGCCAAAGAGGAACCTGCTGCTTCTCCAGTGTGTTATTTTCTCTGGGAAGTTCAGAGCTGTCTCAGCAGCAGGAAGTGTCATTTCTTCTCCTGGCCTGTACTCACGCGGCTTTCACTGTCCTTGGTCTGCACTGCATCCAGTTGTGGTCTTACCTTTTGAAATGTTTTTTTGCCCTTTGAACACAAGTGGCCTCCTAACTTACCTTTTATATGACCACGTCTGGGGCCTGCAGCCTCAACATTTCCATATCGCTTAAAAGGGGAAGGTAAAGTTGTGCTTCTTGGCCCTCCCATATGAGTTGACTGATTTGAGATTTATGTCGCATTCAATCTACTGCATTCTGCTAGACACACTGCATCAGGGGAGAGAGGTCTTGATACCTTACAGATGTGTGCTGCTGGTGTCTGAGCCAGGAGTCAGAGAATGGGGGCGTTAGCACTGCAGTGACCTTTGTTTCGCATCCACTAATGACCTCTCAGATGGGATGGAGCTGTTGACATCAGATTTGGCTCTGCTTTGGTTTCAGAACCAGACACATCCTTACTGAATGTCTTCCAGAAATTCCTTGAGTAGATGGAAATGGTTCAGATGTTAAGATAGACAATAGGGGAGATAAATGTCAGTAATTTGGCATGTGTCATGCATTTCTGTTCCACATAGCATTTCATTTTTGTCCCCTTCCCCTCCTTTCCTTATAAACAGAAAAAGGCCCACTTACGATTTCTGCACAGGAGAATGTAAAAGTGGTGTATTACCGAGCACTCTATCCCTTTGAGTCCAGGAGTCACGATGAAATCACGATCCAGCCGGGAGATATAGTCATGGTAAGAAAGCCTCCAGCGAAAGTGTGGTTTGTGTTGATGGTTAGCATCTGTCCTCTTCTTGTACTTTATTTGACAGTTGTAAAATTGTGGGCGAGTGTGAAGTCTAATAATCCAGCATGAGTTTTTGAAGTATTGACTCAGTCTTCTTCCTTTTTTTCTATTTGAAAGAGAGACAGCATTTAAAAATGTATCCTGCATCACCTCAAAATAGAATTGTTAAAGAAAAATGGGTTCCTGACATAGCCTTCTGTATTTTCAATCTGTAAAGCTCTGGTAATTTCAGAGTTTAGATTCCTACTTAGATACTATGAGTAGTCTTTCAGAAATAGTTTTAAATGCAAAATATTTGGTCACAGTTGCCAATAATAACTTTTGTATCTTTGGGTCAAAGCATCTTTTTTTCCCTTTACTCATGTAAACTTTAAATTGTGTGAAGAAGAGTAATGAACTAAATACAGTTAATCTGCTTTCCTACTCTGTAAATGAACAGATGAAAGAGTTTAGAATTTTGCTTGTCATAGCTTGTTTCTGTAAATACAATAATTAAATATAATCTTGTGATTATAACTAAAGCTATAGTAACCAGTTTGAGAAAGAATAAAGGAATGTGGTTGACCTAAATTCTTTCCTAAAAGAAAACAGTAGTCCTTCAATCCAGTTAATGTATGTCTTAGAAGTGGTCAAACTTTGCATTACTGTTGGCTTTTTTTTTTTTTTTAAGATGGAAATGGTTCAGAATTTTCAAAGAACTGTGAAAATTAATAGTTGAGACAAACAACACTTCCCATACTGGGACCCTGTGTCACTGAAGTATAAAGGATGTCGTGTAGCCACAGTAATTGCTCATACATTCATGTTGCATTTATGCGTCATATCTGTATTTAGAGTATGGGATGTTTCGCGGGTCAAAATATTTAGAAGGAACGATGTGTTTGTTTCTCAGAGAAGCTGATCTCCTTTCCCCTTATTTTCTGATAGTTTTTTCTCTAATTCTTTTGGGCTGGAAATAAGGAGGTGACATCTAAGGGTCCCGAATTTTTCAAAATCAGCATTTCCTTCACAGTGATGAAACCTGAGGTTTGGATGCCCGGGCACCAGCCTCACTTATTCTTCACAGAACACCCTACACATGAATGGGGACCCAAGGCAGGCAGTGTTTTCTCAGCTTCTTCCCCATCTTCTCTGTCCTGATGGCCTCATGCTGCCTTTTAAAGCAGATGAATTGTAATTTATCTAAGTACCAATCAACAGCAGGAATCTAAACAGTATGAAGGTATAATGCTATAGCAGATAGGACCTTATTACAAGGTTGATTTTTTTTTTACACTGCTTTCAAAAGAAAAAAAAAAGCCTAACATTTTTGAAACTGGATTTTGTTGCAGCACAAAGTGCAGGAAAAGTAATATTCTCTTCTTGAGATAAGGAAGTGTTAACCAAGTGTTATGATAAGGAAATGTTACAGACGCTCTATATTTTAATGAGTAAATATTGCTATTTTTGAGGGAAACATCGTCTTGTTACAGTGATATTGAGTCCTTTTTCCTTAAATTGACTAGTTAAGCCCCAGCCCGTCTGGAAGAATAAAGTGTAGATATACCGTAAGAATGAAACATCTCATTAAACATGTGTTTTGCCTTGCTTTCAAACCTGTGCTTTCCTGGTGGAGGTTAAAGGGGAATGGGTGAGTGCCTTCTCACTGTCAGGAAGTCTGTATCTTATTAAATGTTTTGTTCTTTTAAATCACTTTAATTCTGTGTAAGTACATATATCTTTGGGTGTTGTCGTGGCAGTAAAAAGATGTTTTGAGTTTGTGTAGTAGGCTGTGCTTAAAATAGAAAAAGAAGAAAAGAAAGGTATAAAAGTTTGCGAACCAGGTTTCTGTTTGCTAGCTTCCATGTAAAGACTAACTTGAAGGCTCTGTATTGGCAAAGTATCAGGTCAAGTCTCTCAGATCATGGGCAAAAATAAGTTCTAAGTAGGTTAAACTTAAAAGATAAAATTCTTTTTTAAAAGTTATTTAACAAAAAAAAACTTTCTGGGTTAAAACTGGAGGCCATCAAAGAACAACATGGAAAGATTTGACAATATTACAAAATTAAATCCTATAGATTGCAAAATATATGAAGAGATAAAGGGTCACCATATGATACATAAAGACTGGAAAGTTAATATGAAAGAAACCTACAGCTTTAAGGAAATACATACACAGATAAAGAAAAATAAATGATTTTTAAAATATACAGAAAGATGTTTCTTTCTTTGGTGATCAGGAAAATGGAAATGTTAAAGATGAGATAACATTTTTCATCTCTCAGCTGAGCAGGTTTATGAGTTTGATAATATCCAGCTTTGTCAAGAGTGTAGGAAAGTGAGTATAACACACATCATGAGCATTGTCATATGAATTGGCTGAGGCAGTTGAAAGGCAATTTGGCAACGCTTATTCAGACTTAAAATTCGTCATTCCCCTTGACCCAGGAACTCTGTTATTCTTCCTTCTATAGGCTGTTTCTGGCAAGTGCATAAATAAATGTGTCCATGGATGTTCATTGCAGCACTGCTGGTAAAAGCAAAAAAAGGAACAGCCCTGTATCTCTCAGTAGGGAGATGATTTAAATAAATTACGATACTGCTAAACAATAAAGATGTTTTCGAAAATTACAGATTGGTCCTGAAGTTCGTTTGGGTTTTTCTGTACGATTTGGCCAACCTGATATGAATAAACTCTCCAGTAAAAAAAAGCAGAAACAATATGTAGAGTATAATTGTATTTGGGTAAATAAAAAACCAGGTGTGTGTTTTTTAATGCAGGTGTATGTTTATATGCATATAGTTTACAGTCTTGCAGTGTAGGCATCAAACTCTTAATAGTGGTTACTACTTGGCAGTAGTTGGGGGTGGTTGTTTTTAATTTTATGTTCTTCTATACCACCTGCGTGCAGGAGACCCCAGTTCAATCCCTGGGTCAGGAAGATCACCTGGAGAAGAAAATGGCAACCCACTCCAGTATTCTTGCCTGGGAAATCCCATAGACTGGGATCCCTGGAGGGCTATTGTCCATGGGGTTGCAATGAGTCGGACACAACTTAGCAACTAAACCACTACCACCATATTTATATTTACAACTGTATCTACATTTGTAATTTTTAATAAAACACTAAAGATAAATCTGACTTTGACAAATAAAACAGAGTGTCACCCAGGCCCGGTTTACTGTTTACTTTATCTCCGACATCCCAAATATGTGATGAAGGGACTTTGTTGTAGGCATCCTGTGTCCTCTTGTTGATGGGACTGGAGTGGTGTCTTCATTTTATATCCCAGAATGCAACAAGACACCCCAAGTGGCATTAGCTGTGTTATCTTTGTGAGGCTAACAATTGGACACCCAAAGTGGAAATTGACTTGTAAGAGTAACAGGTTTTTTATTTCATGAATTTTGTAGTTAAGAAACACAGTTGTGGAAAATATACAGTAGAACATCCTTAGCAATCTCTCTTGGTTGAGTAATCAGGAGTTCACTTATTTTTGCAGGCATAGTCATCATCAGATTCTCATATTTCTCAGACTTTGAAAAATAGCTAACTACACCTGTTAGATTTTAGAGGTCTAGCAACCTGTTTCCTGTTTTAATGCAGGCAGTCTTGCAGGAGGCTTTAAAAAACATTTTGCTTTTTAAAATCTTGATTATCAGCTCAGTTTTCTCCAAAAGTATTTTTTCATGATTAACAAAAATTAGGTGGTATTTCATATATAGTCCTCTTCTAACTGTTGTTGGTAATACAAAGAAATATAAGGTAACATCCACCATTCAGATGTTTAAAATATTTTTAGAAAAATAGGGATAACATGTGAAAAAGCCAGTGTATGATGAAGTTCCCAATGAATGTTCACTACTGCTGCTAGGAATGTAAAAGAGAAGAGGAATTAGAGTGAACGGATGTACTCTGGGAAGACTTCTGAATGGAGGCATCTTAGTTGAGTTGACCTTGACGGCTAAGGCTTAGATACTTTGAAAACCTATGGCCTGTCTTCTGATCTGGAGGTCCCATTACCTGGAGGGTGAAAAAGCCCAATTTGACATCCACAATGTATTGGAATAATAGCATGAGAAATTAGAACAATGCTGCTCACTGCCATTTTATTTAAGTTTATCTTAAGAACACAGGCTGATCATCTAACTCAGCTGGCTTTAAATGGCACAAGGCTGAATACATCAGTCCTGCTCAGGGATCTTAAAGTGAAAGTGAAGCCGCTGAGTCGTGTCTGACTCTCTGCAACCCCATGGATGGTAGCCTACCAGGCTCCATGGCCCATGGGATTTTCCAGGCAAGGGTACTGGAGTGGGCTGCCATTTCCTTCTCCAGGGTATCTTCCCAACCCAGGGATCAAACCCGGGTCTCCTGCATTGCTTTACTGTCTGAGCCACACACACACACAAAAACCAATCCAGGACTCTCTCCCGGAGACTCTGGGAAATTTTAATCCATATTTAGGATTCAAAAAGAAGGCTGAGTACTGAAGAATTGATGCTTTCAAATTGTGGTGCTGGAGAAGACTCTTGAGAGTCCCTTAGACAGTAAGGAGATCAAACCAGTCCATTCTAAAGAGATCAAACCTGAATACTCATTGGAAGGACTTAAGCTGAAGCTGAAGCTCCAATACTTTGGCTACCTGATGTGAAGAGCCAACTCATTGGAAAAGACCCTGATGCTGGGAAAGATTGAAGGCAGGAGGAGAAGAGGGCAACAGGATGAGAAGGTTGGATGGCATCACTGACTCGATGGGCATGAGTTTGAGCAAGCTCCGGGAGTTGGTGATGGAAAGGGAAGTCTGGTGTGCTGTAGTCCATGGGGTCACAAAGAGTCGGACACGACTGAGCGACTGAACAGCAAGAATTCAAAATCTTCTCCGGTGGTTCTGTCAGGGAGTTTTGGGTACCACTTATCTAGCCTAATCTTTTTTCTCTCAGAACTAATCCCAGGTCATTCTGAAAAATA